TAACATTGGTATCGAGCTAGTATTGTGATTCTCTCGAATCCTTTCTCAGTGTATGATCTATGGAGTCTCGTGTTTCCGATTTGGAATCAAAATTGACAAATTTCCATAATGGATTCAATGTCGCGCAAACCGATTTCAAAGCAACCCAGGATGTGTTTCTTCAACAGCTTTAGGTCTTACTTGCTCGAAATGGAAATGGTTCAAGAATTTCAAGTGAATCGTCGAAAGAAACGCAATCAGATCCCAATCTTCCAACGAATCAAAACCCAAATTTTGACCCCAATTTCCATCGTAACGATTTGACCCCAATTCACGCCAACCATTCATCAAGATGGATTTTCCTCGATTCGGCGACGATGATGATCCTTGGGTTAAATATATAAAGCTGAGCACTATTTCGACTTCTTCAACATCGAAGAATCCAAGAAAGTAAAAATGGCATATTTTCACATGGAGGGTGAAGCTCTGCAATGGTTTCAATGGGCGAATTACATTGCCAATTTCCCTAAATGGGAGGATTTCACGAGGGTTTTCTGTTAGGAATTTGGACCTTCAGAGTTTAAGGATTAGGCAGAGAGCTTGGTGAAGTTGCGACAGACTGGGCTTTTGAGGGATTATATTCTTGAATTTCGTCGATTGGCAAATTGTACTCGAGATATTAGCCCTGCTCTACTTAAGTCTTGTTTCATTGGAGGATTGAAGCCAGAACTACGACATGATGTCAAGATTCTAAAACCAACAACCATATTTGACGCTGCTACTTATGCTCAACAGGTAGATGCCAAGTTATCAGAGTTAAAGGTGCAATCTTTATCTAAACTCCCTGCACCTTCAATACTTAATCGTCAAAATCCATTTCAGAATATCACCAACACTACCCTTCTTGAATCAAAACTGAAGGTGAATAATGTGAGGAAATTAACCCCTAAAGAGGTAGAATTCTGTAGAAAAAATGGGTTATGTTTTCATTGTAAAGAAAAGTATGTCCGGGGTCATTATTGTGAGAAAAAACAGCTGTTATTGATTGATGTTCCTCCTGATATAACCCATGTTGATTGTGATGCATTTGAGGATGAAAATATCGAACCAGACATCACTGCTTATGCGTTATTTGGTACCCTACCTCTGAGCTTAATTAAAACCATGAAAGTCTTTGGGGTAATCAAGAATTGTCCTATTATTATTCTCTTTGATTCTGGAAGTTCCCATAATTTCATTGATTCGTCTTTAGTTAAACGTTTAAAGGGAAATTGGATACTTCTCACACCTTCAATGTCAAAATAGCTGATGATGTTAAGGTGACTACACAAGGTACTCTTGGTACTGTTTCCTTAAAAATTCAAGACTATCAATGCATAACATATATCTATGTTATTCATTTGGGAGGGTGCAATGCTGTTTTAGGAGTGCAATGGTTAAGAACTCTTGGTCCAGTGTTATGGGATTTCGATAAGCTTTATATAAAGTTCATGAAAGACAATAAGACTTTTTGTATTACAAGCCCAGAAGCTCATACACACCACTTACAAGATGTTTCTGCCTTACAAATGGAGAAGTTGTTACAACAAGAGTTAACGGTGGGAGCATTTCTTTACCACATTCAACTTGAAATGGTGGAAAAGCAACAATCTTTAGATTTAACTGAGGAACAAAAGAGGGACATTCAGGAAATATTAGAAGAATATAATGTAGTATTCTTGACTCCTGGTGGTCTTCCTTCTCACATAATCCATGACCACAAAATTCCATTGGCGGAGGGCAATAAACCACGAAGCAGCATGCCTTATAGATATGGTCCATTGCAGAAGACTGAGATTGAGAAGTGTTTGTAGGAATTACTTGAAGCTGGGTTTATCAGAATGAGTAATAGTCCTTATTCTTCACCAGTGATTCTTGTTCATAAAAAAGAAGGAACTTGGAGGATGTGTATGGATTATAAAGGCCTTAATTGGATCATAATCAAGGATAAGTTTCTCATTGCTCTCATAGCTGAGCTACTTGATGAACTTTTTGGTGCACATTATTTCTCTAAGTTGGATTTGAGGTCGGGTTATCACCAAATTCGGATGCATCCTGATGATATTGAAACGATTACGTTCAGAACACACGATGGCCATTATGAATTTTTGGTAATATGCCCTTTGGCCTTACTAATGCACCAGCAACGTTTCAAAGCTTAATGAATGAAATTTTTCGGCCATATCTCAGGAAGTTTATCCTCGTTTTCTTTGACGATATTCTGGTATACAGCAAGACTTGGGACTCACACTTGGAGCATCTTAGATTGGTTTTTGGGATTTTACAAGCTAATATTTTGTATGTAAAAAAGTCTAAATGTGCTTTTGGCCAGAAAACCATATAGTATTTGGGACATGTGGTCTCTAAGAAAGGTGTTCCTGTCGATCTTTGAAAACTAGAAGCCATTGCTTAATGGCCAATTCCAATTTCAGTTAAAGCTTTGAGGGGGTCTTACAGGGTATTATAGAAAGTGTATTCCTAATTTTGGTAAGATATATAGCAGGTCCCTTAACTGCCTTGACTAAGAAAGCCAACTTCAAATGAACTGAAGAAGCAATTACAGCTTTCCAGCAACTCCAGGAAGCCATGTTATCGCCTCTGGTTTTAGCATTACCTGACTTTAGTCAAACCTTTATCATTGAAAGCGATGCTTTAGGCCATGGAATCGAAGTTGTTTTGCAAAAAAATGGATGACCTATTGCTTTTACTAGTAAGGCATTGAGTCTAAGGAACCAATCTCTATCAGCTTATGAAAGAGAGATGATGACGATAGTTCATGCCATCAAGAAATGGCGACCTTGCTTGGTTGAGAGGCATTTTATAATCAAAATAGATCATCACAGCCTCAAATACTTCCTACAAAGTAGAGCTCATACTCATTTTCAACATAAATGGGTATCAAAATTGTTGGGTTTTGATTATGAAATTCAATACAAGCAAGGTTGTGACAACCAAGTTGCAGATGCACTTTTCATATTACCTTCATCTTCTGCAGAATGTTCTGAATTATTTTTGCATAATCAAGATTGCTTAGAACACGCTGAGTTCATGGCCATCTCTTATCCATACATGAGTTAGGTGGATGATATTAGACGACATGTAGAATCTGATGAGTGGATTATTGCTAAAACTAAACAAGTTTTAAGCAATATGACTTATTCTGCTCCTATTGGCAACTTAAGGTTTCATGTAGACAATGGGTTCCTAAAGTATAAGGATATGATTGTTCTTAGTCCTCACAACCAATGGAGACAAAGGATATTTGACGAACATCACGGTAGTCCAGTGGTAGGCCATACAGGTTTCCTTAAAACCTAAAAGAGGCTTTCTAAATCATTCTACTGGGAAGGTATGAAGAAAGATATTAAAGATATGGTGGCTAGTTGTGCAGTGTGTCAACAACACAAATATGAAACCCTTTCACCAGCTGGGTTGCTTCAACCTCTACCAATTCCATCTCGAATTTGGTATGACATCTCTATGGATTTTATCGTTGGTCTACCACCTTGCAAAGCTAAAACGGTGACTTGGGTTGTAGTGGATAGGCTATCAAAATATGCACATTTTGTAGCATTGGCTTATCCTTACACTACGTCTTCTGTGACTAATCTTTTTGTTGAGAACATCTTCAAATTACATGGCATGCCTACATCTATAATTTGTGATAGAAACCCTGTTTTCCTGAGTGGACTTTGGAAAGAATTTTTCAAATTGCAAGGGTCATCCTTGTGTTATAGCTCTGGTTATCATCCTCAAATGGATGGACAAATAGAGGTGCTGAATAGATGTTTGGAGACCTACATGCGCTGTTTTTGCAGTCTTCAACCTAAAAGATGGGCATTTTGGCTACCATGGGCCGAATGGAGTTACAATAACAACCATCACACTGCCACTAATATGACACCTTATGAAGTGGTATATGGCCAAGCTCATCTTGAAGTTCCACTTCATGAAGATGGTACTACTAAGTTGAAGATGGTGGACAGAAGTTTGCAGGAGAGGAATCGAGTTTTATCATTACTCAAGGCCAATTTGGAGGCAGCTCAGAATAGAAAGAAGCTTCAAGCTGATAAACACCGTATCGAGAGAGATTTTGATGTTGGTGACTTGGTTTATCTGTGATTAATACCCTATCAACACTTGTCTCTAGCTTCTCACCCTTTCAACAAGTTACAACCTAAGTTTTATGGTCCGTTTGAGGTATTAGCAAGGGTTGGTGCAATGGCTTATAAGTTGAAGTTATCTACTAACTCCAAATTCCACCCTGTCTTTCATGTTTCTTGCTTAAAGAAGCATTTGGGTCCTGCAATACAACCTACAATTTTTTTTTTTGTCAACAATACAACCTACGATTCACCTTCCAGTAATTACAGAAGCTGGAATTCTACAGGATGTGCCTATTGCAATTTTGGAAAGGAGAATGGTTAAAAAAGGGAATGCAGCTGTGACTGAAGTGCTAGTTCAATGGCAAAATCACTCAAAGTATGATGCGACTTGGGAGGTGTATTCTGTGTTGAAGACCAAATTTCCAATTGTCACAAATCTTTGAAGCCTTGCAATTGAAGGCTCTTTTTTTTTTTTAGGGGGGTGGGGGGGAGGGGGGGTAATTGATATGATGGGGGTGGGGTGGGGGGGGGTATTGATATGATGCCACATGTCAGCATCATATCAATAGGAATTGTAACTAAATTCTATTTTGAGTAGCTGCTTAGTTAGGTGAGTCGGTTACTTTCTGTATAAGATAGGAATTCTAAGTGATGAAGGATATGTTTTGTAAAAGTTGTTTCAGCCAATAAAAAGTTACTTCTTACGTCTGAGTGAAAGTCGAAGAGGGGTCTTAACAGCATGATCATGTGGACATGAGACATACATATATTTTGGAGACAGTAGACCCGCAGCCTACATAATACAAGAAGGAATTTGTAGCAATTGCGTATTATTTGCAAACAAATTATTCAACGAGTTATAATATGCACAGAAACTAAAAGAAAATTACCATATATTAAACTCAGTAAAAATCCCACTGCATGAAAGCAAGGCTGTCACGGCAAGGATCTTGCATTACATTACGTAGATAAGAAAATCCTGTTGCACCACCTGTATAATACAAGCAATTAAACATGAGGCATGCAATCCTCAATTCACATGCACTACGTTCTCGCGAACCACTATACATAAATAAACTCATCATCTTACAAATCCATTTGATTTCCTATATATGGTAGCAGTTCGAGCTAGCAAATTACCTCCAAAATGGAAGACTTAAAAGCTTACACTGCGAGATTAGAGAAAGAGTCAAACTCTTCACAAATATGAGTGGAATTAAAATGATTAGAAGTGAAGGGTACGTAGATATGCAACCTAGCTAGCTCACTAATTAAAAACGTCAAGGATGATCACTCAAGATCATGAGACTAGCTACTATATAAAATAATTAATCATATCTACAAATTAACGAGCTAGAGATCGATCGCGAGGGAGATCATCAAGGCTCTTGTTTGAGGAACATGGAAGGAACCAAGTCCTGCAAAAGTCCATACTGATCAGCAGCTCCATGAGGCAGTTGATGCTGCTGCAGATGATAATTGGGGTTTCGTGACGATCCCTGATTAGCATTGTTACTGATCATGTATTGGGGCATTTGAAACAAAAATTCCTGAGAAAAGGCAGAGCTTGGGCCACCAGCAGCCAAGGTTGAGAATGTACGCGTGGCGGGTGCTAGGTTTAGCATAGAAGGTGGGAACAATGCTGCAGCCGCATTTCCTCTAAGGGTTGCTGGAAGCGGGTGGTTGTGCTGACCTTCGTATGTCGTAATCACAGTGGATGGGTCCTCGTACGACCTCTCTACGCGTTTCTTGACCCCGCATTTTGGTGTCGTACACCGGTAGTAGCTCCTGCAATTGGCAACCGCAGTACATATACAATTAGAGAGTCGTGCTAAAATCAATCTTTTTTAGATTTTTTTCTGTCAACAAATTTTTTATTTTTACTACCAAACAAATTAAGATTTGGCGGATTAATTAATCTTGCAATAATCAAATGGTTTTTTCTTGATTTAGTTTAGCTTCATTACCCATAACTCAGAATTTGCGAGATTAAGATTACTTAATATATATAGGACTAAATTTTGGGATCATATTATAACAAATTAGTCAACCTTTGGTTTTACTGATTAGTATGTCTTATGCAGGAATTTTGCACAATTTGATGGAGTAAGATTTAAAAAATAAATTAAATCATTGAAAACTATAGCACGTGAATGAAACAAACTAGTCAACTTTCGAATATATTGCTTATTTTTCCTGTTTAAGGGGGTTTTTTGGTGTTTTCTTTCAAGTGCAAACAAAGAAATGAGATAGAAATTACACATTATATATCCAAGTTAATTAGTTAATTAATTACCTTGGATATGGGCTATTTTTCACAGCTTTCTGCCCATATTTTCTCCATCTGTATCCATCTTCTAGATGATCAACCTCACTCTTGGTCATGAAGGCAAATCGTGGCTCTCTTTGCTTTTTCTCTCCCTTATTCTTTGCTAGTTTGCTCCTGTTGGTTATCAAATATATCAAACACGATCAGATCAGGTATATGAATATGTCATTAATTACTTAGAAAGTATCCTTGTTCTTTTAATTGATACAAGCTATATTAGATAAGGGAGATTTGAACTCAAGATCTCGAATGCAAGAAAGATTGCTCTTAACTAACTGAAGCAACCTAGACAATATTATATGTATTCAATTCAAACTTACACTTTCTTAGAGCTATCTCCTCCATCTTCTGATGACCCTTTTGGCTGCCTATCTTTCTTATTCTTACCACAGTCCTCATCAGCACCAACCTCAGCTGAAGAAGACGACATGGAAGAGTTTGGCGTCAAAGGAGTCACATCACCGCCTCCGCCACCACCTGAGTATCCAAGATGATTAGCAGGCTTTTGATCTCCTTCAATAGACGAAAATAGTGCTTCAGAGGTTGAAGATGACAAGCCAAAAGCCGTTGCAAGTGAATTATAGTCCATGGATCCTTTCAAACACTCTGTTAGGTTCATGTATGAAGGATTCACATCAAACCCTTGCAAATTTGGGTGGTTGTTGATGCCGACCATCCCACCATCATGATCTTCATACTGAAATAGGTCATGGTAGTAAAGGTCTTTAGGTTCCTGATCAGACATGGAAGAAGAAGAACAGCAAAGACAGAAAGAAGAAAGAAGGGTTTTGGTTTGGAGGACTACTACTCTTTGATTCAAGACTTGAAATATCTCTCTCTAAATGTGGTTTGGTTTGGAAAATACATTATGATTTGATCATTATATATATAATAATGGGAGGAGAGAGAGAGAGAGAGAGAGAGAGAGAGAGAGAGAGAGAGAGAGCCTTTAAGTTTGAATGGACTTTGTTAGCTATCACTTTTATGGAGGTTGACAAAGCACCTTCCAATTGAGAGGACCAAAAAGTGCCTCCTCAAATGGAAACATTTTTAGTCCTTGCTATCCGTTTATTCATACGAACAAAGAAACAATATTGAAGGCATATTCCTTGACAACATTAATTGATCATACACTTATTACATCAATTAGTTTGATTAATTCTTAATTCAAGGTATCGTATACATAACATTTGCTTATCTCATATAATTTAAACTACTATCTTACTTTGTTAAAATATGTGACCAAACATGCCCTTGAGGATACTCCTAGCAAAAAAGTTTAAGTAAACTAAAAAAAAAACGTTGACAAAGTAACATGTAATGGATTTGAGATTTTGGTGTGACCAAACATGCCCTTGAGGATACTCCTAGCATAAAAGTTTAAGTAAACTAAAAAAAAAAAACGTTTACAAAGTAACATGTAATGGATTTTAGATTTTGGTGTGACCAAACATGCCCTTGAGGATACTCCTAGCATAAAAGTTTAAGTAAACTAAAAAAAAAAAAAAAAAACATTGACAAAGTAATATGTAATGGATTTTAGATTTTGCCAACGTGACTTCCAAATACAAATTAATTATGTTGATGCACAAAATCGGTGAGACTTTGGAATAGTGTAAAATATCAAGTTTATGACCTTCGCTCGATTGCTCTAGTCACCTGGTGAGGATAATATATAAACAGATAGAGATAGAGAAGCAAACACAAGATGTACGTGGTTCACCCTAAGTCTGGCTACGTCCACGAAGTAGAGGAGTTCTCATTAATAGTGAAGGGTTTACACAAATACATAAGTTTGAGCATAATTATCATCAATGGGTTCTAATTACTAGTTTAGGTACAATAAGGATATTTCAGATTAATTTTAGGAGAATGGTCTCCTTTTATAGTTGAGGAGAGTCTCTAGCTTTTATCCGCGGTCGATGTGGGACTTTATGAGATTTATTCTGATGTTGACATGTGTCGTGCTATGATTGGCCTTCTGGTTGGAGGGAAACTCTCGTTGTTCGGCAGGGGTGCCTCAGCCTAAACCCCTAAGTGGGTCCATGCATGTATGAAGTTGATCGGTGCTTGATTGTTTCGGAATTGGTAAGTATGGTACGAACAAGTTATTTTCTTAAATTTTGACGTTTCAAGATGAAAAAATGAAGTAAAATTAAATCCAGTAACTCTTCTCTCATCAAACTATTAGAAATGTAATTAGAACAGATAAAATGAAATCCAACAATGTAATTTTGTTGCTTACTATAAATATCTCCAGGTAAAAAGAAAAAAGAAGTGGGGTAAATGTTTGTAACACCAATAATTGTACAAGGTTAATTTGAAATGCCTCGTTTGGATTATTTCCATGTGCGGTCAATTGTTCAAAGTTAGTGTTTGGAATATTAGGCAATGCGTGGATCAAGTTGCACCGGTATTTGACCGTAGTCTAGTCGGCACCACTGGGGGCACGTGGCAGACCCCACTCATCGTTAAAATCACGTGCTTGTCTCTGCTGATGGGAAACCCACGTCAGCCCTGAATTCTGTATCCTCTGCCTTTCTGTGATTCTTGTCGTCTCTCCTCATCGTCCTCATTCATATTTATTTTTTGCTAATCCTTTTTTTTTTCCTTCATTTTTTTGGTCTGTGTTTTCTGGAAATTCTTATGTCGTCACTGTGCTTTTGATCTCTCACGTCAATGCAATTTTCTTGATTAATTTAGCAAATTAAAGCTCATTTTCTATGATTTAAGGATCGTTTGAGAATTGGGAGCTCTTTTTTGTTTATTTTTTTCCCAACTACCGTCCACTGAAAATGTTTATTTATATAAACATTCAGGTGCGTACGTAACTGGTATGGGGCCATATATACGGTTATCATGTTAGATGGACATACATGTATAGCCTTCTATATAACAGTGACAGATCTTGTCATCGACGTACGTATATAGTATTAAAAACCAATTAAAACCTAACAAGTAAATATTTTTAGTCAAGAGAATATTTTGTAAGACCTAAAAGTTTTAAATTAATAATTATTCGGTCTTCTCACATTTTTGTTGATGATTTTGCAAATCATGGTTCTCCTTTTTATTGGTCTTGTTTGGTGAGATTCTCACCTTGCTTTAATTTGTTCGTATTATCTTCGTGATTATGTAAGGTTTCCACACTACCGCTTTAGATAGGTTATCTTTTGTTTGCCTTGTATTGGTTATTGGAGGTTTTGTTCGTTATGACTATTATCATGATCAGGACTAGACTTTATGTCTCTATTAATAGATTTTATTTTCCTTCTTACCTTATTGTCACTTCTTCTGATAGTAATGCTAGAATGGAATTGACTTTAATTTTACCAAAAGAAAAAAAAAATGTAATGATAATACACAAGTAGAAAGAGTAAAATGAGGTATATGATTCACATTAAGCTCTATCAACTGTAAGAAGAAAAACAATGTTCGTATAATGGCAAAGTTTTTCGACCATATGTATACAAGAACTAAGCAAGTTAAAAAACCCAACTCATGCTACTGACTCTCTTTCTCCCTAAAAGCCCTGACCCCACCACGAAAAACCCTAGATCTACCATCGTCCTCGCCACCGACCCCTTGTTCCGTCTTGGGGTCGGTGCAGCCCCTCCTTCTTCTTTCCTTGCACCCCCTTGGCCTATCCTTCTGTATTTTCATATACCAGCGCCTCCCCTTCTCCACCAAATTTTGGGGTACCCAACCTTTGGCGTGGATGGCGTTTTTGCTCCTTTTCGAGGTATTATCACCTTGATTCGGAGCTAGGCACAGGTTCTCCTTTGCTTTGGCGTGTTGGGTTGTCGGTGGACCGGATCCACCCTTCTAGTTTGTTTCCATTGTGGTTCCCACGGCTGAGCCGTCGTACTTGGTCCGATCTGTGGCGATAACGTCGTCTTGGTCAGATTTGCGGCTAACCCTCCTTGTTTGACTGGTAGTTTCTACGCGTCCGCCGTTATTAATTATGACAAATTTACATCAGTAGTTCTCAGTGGTTTTTGTTTTTATGGTGGTCATCTAGGGGTTCTACTCTTTCTATGTCTATGTAAATTATCTCCGGATCAAACTATCGGTCATTAGAGAATTTATCTATTTGACACCTCTTGTAATTGTATTTGTTGATCAATGAAATCTTGCTATTGTTTCTTGTCTTAAAAAAAAAACACAACGGAAGTTTAAGATTTTTGTACATATGATGGATTGCTTGCTAAAGCCGGTTATTTGAACCAATAATTCAATACATTAATTCAATACATTATTGTTGACGTGTATATGTGGGTAGGTAGATTTACATTGGGAGACATAACATCCAAGATGTCTAACCAAAAAAAGAAAAAAACCTCTTAGCTAGTCTTCCTCAAAACCAAACTGTTGTCAACTTATCAACCACATAGTAGCTATGCACAAAATAACACCTACTTTGAAATATTTTTCGAACGAACTTACTTTTAAATGTTGAATACAGATAAAAGAGGATTAAAATATTGAAGAAACAAAACAAAGAATTATTGGGGCTAATACGTGTATATACACGTGGATAAACCTGTCATAGTTAACACCAACTTAAGTTGAGGTTATTGGCAGATACGAGAGTATTAGTTAAAATGGCAGCAACTCCATGCATTAGTGGTGAGTTGGTAGTTGCCCCTTGATGGGCACAGAAGCACCCACCACGATAGAGATTAATTAGATGCTCTTTGAACCGTGTCTGGTTTGATGAGCCCCCTAATATCCTTTTAGATGTTCTGTTAGCGGATAATAGGTTGTAAGTGTGCTGGTGCGTTTTTCTCCCAGCTTTTGTATTGTTTATGTTTTTCCCTTCTATGATCAATATATGCCGCAGCTTTCCAAAAAAAAAAAAAAAAAAAGGAAAAAAGAATGCTCTATGAACTACTTGAAGCAATGTGCAAAATCTATTGCATGTTTAAGCTTAATTAGGTGTTTAGCTTGAATAACTGTACATATAAACCATATAAACGTGGGAAAGGAAAAAAGAGCAAAGGTTACATATGTATCACCGCCTACTTTATGTGAAGGAAGAAAGATGTAAAATTACAAACACATTTGAACTTTTACTTAGTCAACAAAATTAAACTTTTGTGGCTGGCAAACATCATAAGCCAATTGAAATTATGAGAGATAGACCAATTCAATTCAATTAACTTTGTGAGATTTGGTCAAACTTGGAAAATTCAAGGGCCACCTAGTTACTATGCTTGAGAGTGACATTAGATCCCTTTTGTTAATTTCAAGTTTTTTTTTTTTTTTTTTTTTTTTGGCAATTTGATTTGTTGTCTAAAGGAGCAATATTATATTATATGACTCTAGACATTACATGCATAATGCATGCAACTAAATAATTAACTTAATTAGTAACTACAACAACAACAAAGTTTTATTTTATTAAGTTGGGTCGGTAGTATGAATTTTAAAATGCAATTGCGCTTGGCTTTCTGCCAAGTGTTTTGTTAGCTTCAAGTACTTCATGTCTTTTCTTAAAGTATCTTTTCAAGTCTTCTTCTATCTCTTTTGCTCTGAACATCTGTCTCATAATTTAATTAATAATACCAAATAATTAAATTAAATTAAACTGAATTTTCTTGAAAATTCTTAAGTAGTTCGTTCATATTCTGCACCATTAATTTAGCACCCAAACCCTTAAATCGAGCTATCCATTACTCATGTTATGAAATGTGTTAGCTAGTCTCTACTTAAAAAAAGAAGATGAAGAATAAACACACATGACGTGCACAATGACTACTGGTGCGTCATGACTATATCATCATGTTTATAACGAAAAACTATGAAGGTAATTTGGAAGATTAATGTCGAATCAGAAGGGTAATTACCTTGTGTATTTTGACTAGATAA